GTTGCCTCATGAGTATTATTTCCACCCAAAACGTTTTCTTCAAGAAATCAGTGAATTTTAACAAATCAATTTCTCCAACCAAATACCTGATTCAATTTTTCAAGTAAGTGATCAACTTGGGGTGAATCCATGGGTCGTAATTCTTAAATCTATGTGCCCAAACTGGACTCAATTATGAATGTATGATATGTCTCAAAGTCTGTGGATCAAGTGCCAGGTGCGTCAGAAATCCTAGAAATCTGGTACCGCCTCGAACCAAACCCTTTCAAAGTCAAAGAGATTAAAACAAGATTTAAAGAGTGAAAAACACAATTTTGAACTATGATTTCATCTCTGTATTTAAATTTTGCACAATAGAAAGAAAACTTTGAAGAGAAAAATATATGGATCGGTTAAAATCCATTTTACAGTGCTGACTGACTATTGACCAAGGCAATCACTTGGGTTGGATTCATCCAATGGTTCGGTGATGATTCTCTGAGGTCTAAACCATATAACTTGTCAAATTTGGAAGGGGAGCACAGTCTAAATTGATTTTCAGTTGGAGCCCGATTTTAACCAAAGAGGGGGGGGGGGGGGGGGGGGGGGTAAGGGTAGTGAAGGTTTTTTGAGTTCGTCTTAGAGTTGGTGTCACCCTTTGATAGATGATCATGTAAATAACAGAAAGGACAATGCTAAAACAGAGAGTGTGAATGTCACCACGTAGGGTCTAGAAGTGTTAAAAACTCGTTAAACTTGTTGCCTTTTACGCTTAACAGGGCTTTTTAAGGCATAGGTCCTCCCTCTAGACAGCCCACAAGGATGCAACTAAGGTTGGATTTTACAACTAACTCATGGGCCTAAACCCAACCGAAGGCCTATCTCATATTATAGTAAATAGAGAAAAATATGTATCTGATAATCTGAATCCCAAGTCTCTTAATCCCATCGACAAACCAGACCAAGCAATATCTGACTTGGATTCGATTAGTAAATTTTACTATATGTTTATTAAATGGATGTCCAAAATTGGGGTATCTAAGCCGAAAGGATTTACGCAGCATCGGGCCCAGGTCCATTCCATATAACAAAACCTCAACCTAAGCCCAACCAACTCTAGGGCCGTACCCCTAACAAAAGCCATAATATAAAAAAGCTGAAAAATTGTGACAAAACTCATTAAAAAGGATTTTTCTAAAACAAACATCAAACTACATCATAACCCTAAGTCTACGTTTGGAATTGGTGTAAATCAAGAACGATGTAAAAGTTTACGTTTGGTTTGG